ACCAAGTGAGGAAGACCGTTCGGTGGTGCCGTCGAAACTGCAGCAGCGACGTGAAATACTAGCAGAGCCTGTCAGTGTCCTCACGGCCGTTGGCATCAGGCTGGCTGCTCCTGTTCAGGACCTACCCCGAGGCACTTGCACGGTTTTGAAAAAAATCTTCTTTCCTGTCCCTTCTCCCTTTGAAAAGTTTTTGACACTTGGCTTTCTAAAATAGTGATTTTGGAAGACAATTATATGGACAATACAGAGAGGATATGAGAAGTGTTTTCAGCCTGTGTCCTGGATCACCTCACCCAGGACACACACACACNAGGAGCCCTGGCGCCCCCGCACCCCATCCTCAGCGCCACCTGTAGCTAAGGCTCGGGCACCACCTGTCCCGGGGCATTTCTCAGGCCGGTTAGAGCCCTTTGCCTGACCTGAGTTCACCCTTCATCTCTGGACCCTCATGTCAGGAGGCGACCAGGCGCCCGGCTTTACTGCCCAGATCTGGGTTCCCAGAGCCTGCAGTCCAAACAGCAGGATGTGTCTTTGGGGGCNTGCACACGCACACGTGCACACCCAGGCACACACGCACACGTGCACACCCAGGCACACACGCACACGTGCACACCCAGGCACACACGCACGCACATGCACTCCGGCATAGCGCGTGATTTACTGGATGTTGAGTATTAGAATCAGCGGAGATGCCCACTGGAGTCTCTCCTTCGGGGTTTCCTCTGTTTCTCCTTCCCAAGCACACCTCCAACCCCAAAGAAACAACGCACGGCTAAGTTAAATGTAAAGGAAATAATTCCTTTCCTTCATATGAAGAACACGGNCTGGGGCTTCCTGGGCTGTGGGGACCTGGGCCATGGGGGGGGGGCCTGGCCTGAGCAGCGACTGCCCTCCCTCCAGCATCAGGACCCCGGGGTTCAGCCCCCACCTGCCAGGATGTCTGAGTGAGCTCGCAGGTCCCAGATCCCTGCCTCCAGCCTGCCCAGTGTCTGCCCACTGCCGGGCTGCCCATCAGCAAGACCACATGGAAACGCGGAGTAGCTGTGTGGCGCTCACCACGTGCGGGTGCCAAGCCTCGCAAGTCTCTGCGGGTAGATGCCATTATTAGCCCATAATAGAAATGGGGAAACTCAGGCAGGAGTGCCCCCTCCCCCGTTATTCTGCTCAGTGGTGCCACCAAAATGGGAACCGAGCAAAACTGCCCTTCCCTGGGGATGTGGGGGTGCCCATCCCCACACTGGGGGCTCACACGTCCTTTCTCATCCTAGGACCTGAGCACTGGCACAAGGACTTTCCCATCGCCAAGGGCAACCGCCAGTCCCCCGTGGACATTGACACCAAAGCAGCGGCTTACGACCCCGCACTGAAGCCCCTGAGCATCTCCTACGAGCAGGCGACGTCCAGGAGGATCCTCAACAACGGCCACGCTTTCAACGTGGAGTTCGACGACTCCCAGGACAAAGCAGGTCAGTGTCTGAAGCATGACCAGCTCCTTCTACCCAAAAGCTGTTCTCCCAGCCGAGTGGGGGGGACTCCTTCTCAGCCCTGAAGAGCCACCCTGGGGCAGGTGCCAGGCCCAGAGGGGCAGGCCGATGACCTTGAAGTGACCTAGGGCTGTTTCTCCCTGGACCAGTCCTGGTTTCCTTGCAGGGCACCGAGAAACTGGGGTATGGCTCTGAACAGTCACAAAAGGCAAGGCCCCCGGTAGGAAGGACCAGCAGTGACGAGTTTTGCAAAATTAGAACTTTAAGTTCTGCGCATCCCTCTCACATCAATGTTTCTCTCTCCCTTCCTCTCTCTCTAAAAATTAATGGAAATGTGCCCTTGGCTGAGGATTTAGAAAACCTCAAAACACACCAAAATTCTTGGAAACCGTGTTTCCTAGTATTTCCTGGGCATCGAGCTGGTGTGATAAAGGTGGCTTTGTACCTTGGTATGTGCCCAGAAATTCACCCCACAGACCACAATGGTTTAGAGCTGGTGGACGTACTTGGCCTGCTCCTGCCAAAACCAGTTACCATCAGTCGTGGGCAGGCCGCTGTTCACAGGACACCCGTGGACGTGGCGTTTTTCCTTGTTTAGAAGCAGAGTGAGCCATTCGGACGCGGTAGCCGCTTTCTCTGCCCTCTGGTGCACGTTAGAGCCAGCGCCCTATTGTCCTGAGCGTCGTCCCCTGCAGATCATTGGAGGCT